GGACCACCCCCCCAGCGTTGCGCGTCGCTTAGTGTGTGCTCGGTAAGTTTCCTCCCTCATACTAAAATTTTCTGGGGAGAACCCTGGCACCCCAAGACTTTTTTCAGCCTGCAAAATTGCAAGTTGCCTAATTTTTCTTCTTGCAATATTGAAAATGTCTCTGCAACTGCAGACTGCAGGTGGGTATTTCTAACACTACATGCAAGCATAGAAAATAAAGGTTAAAATACAGACCTCAGATGGCCTGAGCAGCAGGACTCCATCACTGAGGACCTCAGCACACAAGTCTGTCTGGTCATCACTGGGAGGCCTCAGGCGGCAGTAAACCTGATAATGTACACATAATCAATATAAAATACAACACGGGGTATTCCGTATCGCCTGAGGTATCGGCTCAGCCGCAAGTCGGATCGGTCCGGAACCCGTTATTGAACGTTATCGCGGCCTGGGTATGATATAAACACAATTTGCAACTTGTGATCTACTCTGCTTATGATCATTTTTGTCTGAAAATTCCTACTACGAATCCTAGATGGAAAATGTTCTTACATCCCACTGAGCTCAATGGAAAGGTGGAGATTTCTTACTTAGCCACATTCAATCAGGGTTCTCACCAGGATGCAGGTACAGACTGAGGGCAACTTTTGCTGCGCAAGTCGTGCATTAAATACTAGTAAGTCCAAAAAACATGACCACAGCAGGGAGTCTGGTATTCTTCCAACATTTTTGAAACTCACAACCCCCGAGACACTATTTCTCACTTATTTGAGGGACAGATTTTGTGCAGTTAAGGTTTTCCCTTCACTATAGCTTCATTCTAAAGTTACATTTTAATTTTTTGCAAGATTTTTGTAAGGTTCTTCCCCCAAAAAACCTCTATGCTGGTTGAAAGATAGCAAATCACACTCATAGCATAGGGGGGCCCTATAATCTCCAGAGGAGTGTCCATTAGTCGGTGGCTAATGCAAGTAATGGACACTCCTCTGGCCAATGGATACTGTCTTGCCACCGAAAGATCTGCTTGGAGATTAGGCCCTATGCTCATTAATAGCCTACACTAGTGACAAACTGGAAGCACACATGACTGAGGACATGTTACCTCAACTGGGTCCTTCGCCTTGTTGGTCTGTTGGGGTCGCCGTGGTGTTTTCTTCGGAGTCTTGCCCCGACTGAAATACAGTTATAATGATATAGTATATGTATGGAAGTATGAACAATAATTATGTTGTTTCTAAATCAAGTAGACCTGCAGTTCCGGTATACATATGACATCATGAACCTTGTGAATCTCTGTGCAGTTTTCACATCGGATCTAAATCCCAGTGAAACCTTTTGATTTTATTTGTACGGCTTCAGTTTGGTAGCCTACATATGTGCCATCCTAGCCGTGGACGACTCTGTAACCCTTTTTGCATGATAATGCCGGGAGTATATTATCATGCAAAAAGGGTTACAGAGTCGTCCACGGCTAGTGCCATCCTATTTGTAGGCAGGTAGGGAGCTCGAGCGTCAGTATTGGAGCCACGGCATACATACAAAATAGGATGGTAAGCAGGCTAACAGTTTGGAACTTTTTATAAGTCAACATAATTTTGATACCTTCAAATTATTGAGTTCAAAAACAGTCCAAGCACTACAACATTTTCTATGCATCGTGGGCTAGCCGTGGTGACTAAGGGAGCATCTTTTTATATAAATTATTATACCAGTTAAGTATATTACATATATATATTCTATATTATATATAAAAGTGGCTCCCGTAGTGAAGTTAGTGGTCGAGTAAATTTTAATTATTTGCCAAAATTTATAATTCTATGTGACTCGCTGGGAGGGGAGGGGGGCATAGCAAAAACCCGAGTTTGACGATAACACAAACAAAAACACGAACTTGTGGAGTCAATCCCAATATTTTGCCAGGACATAAAATTAATGACCTTCTAGTTAGGACATTTTTTTGATAGCACAGAAAATTTCCGACGGATTTTGATGAAAAAATGTAGACAAAATTTTATCAGTTTACGTTTTCGTGTGGCCGACTAGCATCGCTAGCTGCGGCGCCACGGCGAGATACTATAAGTAATACAAAGAGATGTAGTTAAACTATATACTTACGTCGGCTTCATGTTGAATACGTCTTCTTTCTGTAACGTTTTAGTCCAAGATCTTTAGACGAAATTCAAAATATGGGAGCACAGGAAACTGTTTGTATCTCACGCGCGCCGAGTCGCTACTTGCGTGTCTGCCACTTTCAAATTTACCACCAACCAATCAGCGCTCGTAACCGTCTTGGCCAATCAGACGAGGCGACGTTAACGACAGGAATGACCTTTGCCAACCCTGCGTTCCATGAAAACAAGAGCTCTATGATCGAAGATATGTAAGGATTGATCACGGGAAAAAGATAATTTATACCTGTAAGAAATCTTATTAATATTAATATTACGTGCACTATGAATTTGTCAAGTGTGTGACCAGCGTGGATGAACGTCTGACATGGTAACGTTACATGTAATGTACTAGTATCTACAGTCCTGTGTTGATATTGGGAGGAATGATGACTGTACACGTAGTTAGAACACGAAAGGTCAGGTAACATTTGCTAGCGAATGCAATCTATTTCACTCAGATTTGTACGGTGTAAATGGCCCATCGATATTAATTATCATCAATTACGTGATTCAGGACTGGCGGAACATTAACAGATTGCAATTATGCAATGAAGGGCCTACTCTGCATAATTTATGCAACATTGTCATACGAGCAATTACTTTAGTCGTACTAAGGCTACATTTGTAATTTGTATGCAGACCGTGGCCTCTAGCAGACTCCATTGTGTTGCTGGAAAATAGTTGAAATTAGTCAAATATTATAAATAATAATATTGGCCAGAATAGTTGCACGAATCAGGTGGTTTGGGTGAGATCTCTCATTAACCCAAAAAAGTTGAATCAGAAAGAAGGATCCGGAATGGAAGGAAAAAGAAAGAAGGAAGGAAAAAGAAAAGACATTTTGTCATTTACCATATCTATAACAAACGAAAACTGTTTGCCCGTCTGAGCCCGAAAGAGCATTTTTGGCCTCAAAAATGCGACATCGCTAAACGTTGACCTTTTTCATGAAATCAACCAAGATAAGTACAGGGTGTAGATGAAGTACTCCATGGTCTTGTAAGACCGACGAATGCCTACTACTAATAACATTACTACTACTAACAAACGGAAAAACGTACTAGTTTCTTTGAACTGCGAAACTATTTTGCCATGCATAGAATTCAGGCCACACCAATTTAATTAATTGGTTCTTGGATTTACCCACTTTGCAAAAAAAAAAATACAGTAGATTCCAGTAACTGTTAACATTTGTATTTCTTATGATCGTATATTTCAGGAAATTGTATAGAATTCTAAAACACCAAAACATTTATAATACCTGATAATAATTCTCTAAATTGTAAAAACAATGCATAATTGTACAAAAAGTAAAGTTATTATTCAGGGTTTCGTATAGAATTTGGTCCAATTATATCATATAATGACACAGAGCTACACATTATATGTTTAAAGATGGCATTAATGGACAGCTGAGTGTTTGTAGAAAGACACTACACCAGTCAAAAATGCTTATCAAGGGCACATCCTGCCAACAATCTAATGTGAAAGAAATCTATCTTTTCAGGTGCCAATTATGATACATACAATACACTGATGAATATGTAAAATTTGAACCAAAAGATTAATATTAGGTGCAGTTAAAATGGCTGAGGGCATGCAGCCCTCATGTAGCCTCAGTACCAGTATAAATGGGTGCAGGTAGAATCTTCTAGATTAAATGTAACATGTAAGGTCTTCTTATTGCAGGCAGACTATATGCCAGCAAAGCGCCTATAAATAATTCTCCTGATATCACATTATGTCCTTATGTTATAAATTAGTGCTACCATTTATCAAAAATACTACTGTAACAGTAACTGCTTAGTTATCATCCATCTATCTCTTGAGACTACATTTAGGGGTTGGTGGAAAAAAGGAGTCCAGTCCAATTGGCGGAAAACGCAGTCCAGTCCGATTTTTATTATCGCAGGAACGGTTGTCTGCATTTGCATAGATGTATCCAATGAGTGCACTTCACACGGTAACGCATCAGACTGCTTGTACTTTTATCGTATTTTGCAAGGGGGCGCTACTACACACAGAAACCACCAAACTGCTTTTTCCACCCCCAAATTGGACTGGACTGCTTTTTCTGCCATCTGGACAGGACTCCTTTTTCCATGAACCCCTACATTTAGTACACTAGGCACATGACACTTCTCCCTAGTACTTAAACCTAAATGTGACTCCACATCATGTATTGCCAGGCCATAAAGTTGGACAGCAGGGAGAGGTTAATACAATCGTTCTGTGAACACAGAACAGTGTCTCATTTAATTTTACATTTAAATCACACTCAACACCTTCAATGACCAGTTTCCCCCATGTAATCACAATTAGCCTCAAAAATCAGTCAGACCAGAAACCTGCCTGGCATAAAGCTTACCTATAGGAAGACTCTTATCAATAGAATTTTAACAGTCATCTGCAACAGATTATAGAGTACTACTAATATTTCTACAGAGAACTATGAGCCCTGCCATATCCTTACTGTGCATAGTAGTTTCCTGTGAATGTACATACAAGCTATTTACTTGTTATTACATTGCATGTACAAAAAGTAAAGAATACTAAAATTGATGTAAATGGTAAACCCAGGGTATACTATCTGCACAGTTCTGATATGAGTTGCCTGAACTTTTATCCTAACTACATGTATATATACATTGTATAGGAAAGCAATAGCTTACAACTCTGTAGATCTAGTTGCAGATACAGTATGCTGCAATGATGATGATAATGACCCGAGTGATTCTATCAGTACCAATAACAGTAATATACATGTACATGTATGGCTTTGTATTCAGACATGATTGCTAAAAATGTATTTACCTATCACATTCATACATCTGTAGTGTCTGAGTCTACTAAAAAAAATGAGAAGATTATCATAATAATAAAACTGTTTTGTTTGATGTTATTCATATTATCTATAACATTTATGCAGTGAAATTTTCACATGTATTGAATTTGAATAATCATGAGCACATAGATGAAGACTGAAGTACATACTTTTGATGATAATTTTTAGGGAACCAGTGCAGCTGTACTGATACAGTACTGGTGGTACAGTACAGTAGTTAAAACATGAGATTTGTTGTCTCCCATAGAATGTTTCTTTTTTTACACTTTCAGGTCATAACAGGCAAAAAGGCTTTCAAGAAAATAACAAACATATTTCTGCCTGAGAAAATATTCACTTTTCACAGTGTCCTGCACTGGCCCCAATAACATTCATCAATAGAGAAGCTAGGGTAATCTCGGTTAAAGCCCTTGTCACACGTTCACGAATTTGGTCTCCCAAACACTAGACAAACGTCCACAGACTATGGTTTGGAGTAGGTCAGTGCAAAGTCATTGTTCGGCGAATTCGGCTGTACCAGTCGAATGTTTCAAAATGTTAAAAATATTTGTGGGGTGTTTGGAAGGTGTGTCATACTTCGCTGCTTTTTGACAGTAAGTAAAGTAAGAACAGTAAGTTTCTGTCAAGTAAAGTTTGACAGTAAAAAAAGCACCAGCCTACTATCTGGGAGTACACGTAAGTCACCAGTGTTTGGGGCATGTTAAGGGATCAAATTTTACTCCAATTTAACTCAAATTCATTTCGATTAGGATAGAAGGGTACGCGTGGCCCAAGTTTGGTCAGAGTGGTCCCGAAAATCATGGGAACCCAATCGGCTGGTGTCAGGGAATGGAATCAGGGAAAGGTTGCAAATGTGTGACAGGGACTTTAGTCTCTAGTTGTTTCAGAGTGCAGTGTCCTCCAGTGACCCCGGTTCATGTAACACGGCCTTACGCCTGGTCACCGAGTCCATCAGCTTCTTGCGCGGACCGAGGGGAAGGTTGATGCTTTTCAGGTCTTCATCTGTGCACAGCATGAGGGCCTCCAGGTCTATCTGTTCCCTGTTAAATACAGGCAGGTATTCTGCCAGGTTGTGGATGCTCAGGAACAACTGAAGGGGAGACGAGGCGTTGCCATTCAGCTCGTCTTCATCAAGGTCAAGGTCGTCCAGACCGTCATCCTCCCAAGGTCGGTCTGAGGGCAGTCCCGTGCCGTTGTTTCCCATCCCGGTGTTCTGGTCCTGGTCGTAAGCCTCCTGTGCCGCCAGGATGGTGGTTATGGAGTCCAACCTGTCCACCTGATACAACAGAACAAGATCAAATTTTATTTATTTTTTATCTATTTATTGAGATTGTAACAATACAATACACGTGGAACAAACGCAGCTTTTGCTGATGTTGTGTCCCACACATAGAACAAAAACAGACAGTAGTCATTTTCACTTGAGTTAAGTGAGGAAAGTTGTGTTAAGACGCAGCCTTTCCCAAGGGCACAAGTTTGGTGGCATGTCAGGACTCGAACCTGGGACCTCTTGGTTCGAAGTCGAGCACTCTGCATGTACCGTTACGCCACACGACCCCACTAAAATTTGTAGCAGATTCTATCTATAGACAGTATGATTGGTCAACAATTTTCTATTGAATCTTAAAAAGAACTGAATGAATGTAGTTCCAGGTATAGACAACAATCAGAATGAAGTGCTATCAAAGGTACCATTATTGGAGCAGGTGTTATTTTAATAGCATTTGTTTGTTTATTTGTTTGTGTATCATTACTACAAGTGACTATAGCAAGGTGTTCATTTTGCGTTACACTACTAGGAGACAATATCTCTGAGTCCATAAAATTTTATCTCCTAGCTACAAGATCAGTGGACTAATTGGTTTTTTGTAACATCCAGTATTATGCTGTTTTTGTACATTTATGGAGAAACTTCTAAATCATAATCTAATCTAATATGTACATTAATTTTGTAAATACCCTCGGGTGAATAAGCAAAACAACACCACTGTTTGTGTATGCTTCTAAAAATAGTCTGTTTCACACTGCACTTGTTGTCAAAACAAATGATAACAGAGTCACATTCTGTATGATAAATGACATGTACAGGACCTAGTGTTTTATTTGACAGTGTGGAAAAATGTTTAGTGTTTTGCTTGTTCCTGTGTGAATCACTAGTCTAAGAGTAAGTATAATGCATGTTGTATACATGTTTATGAAATGAAGCCTTGAATAACCTACACATTAACACTCACACAAAGACACACACACAGTAACACACACTCAAAATAATTAATGTTCACTATGCTGCATTGCATATACATGTAGTGATGTACATGTATATACACTAAAGTCATTTTAAATCTAGATCATACCTGTTTCATACCACAAGTACAATGAAAATCAGAAAAAATGTCACCATCATAATCACAAAAAAAAAAGAGCAGTCCATTACCAGTCTGAGAACAATGTTAACTAATTGTCTTAATACCATAGTAACTACCCTATCTCCTTTCAATGACTGTATGAGTCTTTGTCATGTTCAACTGTTTTTTCCAGTTGCTACTATATACTAGTAAATGAGTTCTGTTAGTTCATTAGTGATGCTGAAGAAGAAAAAAATAAAGAAGAGTGGCGGATGTCACTCGAAACGTCCGGAAATTACTCTCCGTAATTTATCCAGTTATTGAAGAGTTTGAATTTCCTATGACAACAAATTTCCTATTCCTAAGGCTAATTTCAACAATAATTGCATGAAGAAAAATGTAAAGCATAATACTCTCACCTGATCAGTGTCCTTCCCTCCATTCTGCTGCCCGGCTGGCAGAGAAAACATGGCTGCTGTTGGGTAGTTCTGGCGAAACACGATGTTGCCAAAACCAGGTCTGTCCAGGATAGTGCTCTGGGTATCACTGCCATCCCTGGTAATTAGAGCAGTAGCAATACTTGAGTTTGTATCTCTGTGTGCTTTACTCAAAGTACAATTTGTTAATCAGTCAACATTTTATTAGTGTCCTTACAGCGATTCAAAGACACTCCAAAACTGGTTTTTACCTTCGCCAAGAAGGTTATGTTTTCAGAGGCGTTCGTGTACAGTATGTGTGTGTCCGTCCTTCCTTCCGTCACAGGACACGATAACTCAAGAAGGCTTAAATGGATTGTCTTGATACTTGGTAGGTGGGTAGGTCTTGATGAGACCTGGAAATGATTAGATTTTGGACCCCCTAGCGGCTTGTTACGGTACTGCAGCTGAACTTCCGGTTTTGATATCTCATGATCTAGACATGCTAGGGTGACGAAATTTGGATGGTAGGTAGCTCTTTTGCTGGGGAAGAAGTGGCGTGAGTTTGGGCTCAAGAACCGGTGGACGGATCGTCATGATTTTTGGTATGTAGGTAGCTTTAATGACGCTTGACATAATCATGTGACAATTATGCAAATCTGGATGTAATTTGCATAACTAATGGGAAAATTCTATAAATCAGCTGCATGACATTGTAGGACTATTCGAGCTTGTGACATACGTAATTGAGAACAAGAGAAACACAGGCAGATATTGGTTATGTAAATTAACACTAATTTGCATAATTAATGAGAAATTGGTATAATTCCATAATGCTAACTGCCTGGAATTTCATAATTGGGGTATTTGAAAATTAAGTGAAGGTGAACATCATTATTTAAACATAACTTATTCAAATAAGGATCTCATTTGCATAATTTATGAGGAAATTATAGAATGGATTTCTTTGTTAAGATAAGGCTGTCTTTTGATGGAGAATATGATCAACTGATATAATTTATGCAAATGAGGATCCTATTTGCATAATCAGGACGAATCATCTTTGTCAGTCATAAAGATTAACATCATTTGGCGAAGGTATGAGATCGTGGGACTCTAGTTAGAAGTAAATTTTCTACTGAATTCTAGTCATTTCTTTAATGCCTCAAATTAAAAAAAAAACAGACCTGTAGTTGAAGTTTGGTTCACTAACAGCACGGGAGACAGAATCATCATCTTCTTCATCTGACATGTCAGGATCTGTTGACCTCTGACCTTTAGCAGACACAGGGTTCCCCAGAAGGACGTTCTGGTCCTGCAGCATGGTACCTGGTAAAATGTTTAACATCAATAATTAGTTTCAAACGCAATCTTAAAAATCACCTACTTTTCTTTCCCACCGATATTTGACATCTTATCTTAAGTTAAAGTCCCACTTCGATATACTAAGTACAAGTTTGAATTTTCCGTTACATGTTATATAAGATTTAAATTTAAAATTTGTTTATATATTCTGGAGTTATTGCTTCAATTTTTTTTTGTTTATGTTTGTACTTCAGTTAAACCTCTGTTAACTTAGTTTTTAACATACAATTTCTAATTAACGTTATTTACCAATTACTTATTGTTATTTATTGTTATTATTTGATTTGTTACCATTATCATATTGATCAAATTTTTCAATTACTTATTGTTATTTATTATTACCATTTTATTTGTTACCATTATTACAGTTGTCAATTAATTTAGTCGGGGGAAGATCACGGACAAGCCATTATGGCTTCTTATCTTTCCCCTGCATATCCTATTTTACTGTAATATGTTCATTTTATTGTTCTTCTCTCTGATTATATGCGAATAAACAAACAAACAAACAAACCTGACAGAGAACGCAGACTGCGCTTCCCATCCTCAATACTGCTGACCTAACATAACACAAACAAACAGTTATAATATAATAATGGAACACTCCCAAACATCAGGACGTTCTGGTCCTGCAGCATGGTTCCTGACAGAGAACGCAGGCTGCGCTTCCCATCCTCAATACTGCTGACCTAACATAACATAATGTACATAACAAGTACTCTGTTATCATCTCTCTCCAACATAGTAGAGCTACAGCATCTCAATGACAGTTCCCTATGTTACTACTTCGAGGGTCCACATCACTCTCACACCTACAAAACTGTTAGTAATGTTTTTGATGTAGTTCAAAACATTTACATAAAGTGTAAACACTTACAGTATCTGCATGATTCTACAGAAACAGATCAGGGTTTCTGGAGCTGAGCTCCCTTTTATTTGTCTGATGTCTGATGTATTCTAAAAGGAGTTTTGGTTAAGGAGTATTGAAAAATTACCTTGAACACTGCAGCAGAATCACTTTGTTTTCTCTTGTCAGCTATCTTCTTCGGTATGCCCTTTTTCTTGGATAATGCAGTAGCCTCAGAGAAGTTCATGTGAGTGTTTGGGTGAAAGTTGCGCCGGTGCGGGCCTCCAGGCACTCCAGGGCCTTTCTCTTCAGATGTGGATAATTTTTTCTCTGTCTTCACATGATACTTCTCCACACGACGCTCCTACAGTAACATCATAAGGCATAACATCATATTTGTGGCGTCTTGTGGCGTAGTGGTAGAGCACACTTTCCTAACACACGTGACTCCATGAGCAGTGGATCATAGGTTGCAGAAAGTCTGTGGCGCCCCCCGTCTCTGTTGAGGGATGGTTGTAATGCCCTGATGTAGATGGCCTCTTTAATCCTTTGTGCAAAGAAGTCCTGCTCATTGAGTCACGTTGTTATCTGCGTGACGTCATGGAAGCGGTGAATTGCTCATTCCTTTACAAAGACTGGAGTTGTACAGTCGAAAAATTGGGTGAGTCCATTTTGTTGTGTTGTAAATTACAGTTTAAACTTGCTTCATAATGATTTCTACCAACACAGATGAACTTTCAAGATACATGTACTTTCATACCTGTTCTTTCTGCATCTTGCTGAACTTCTTAATCCTCTTTTCTGCTTCCTTGAACTGTTTATCCTTCAGTTTCTTTACAACCTAAAGAAAAAAGAAAGTAATCATTCACAGTCATTGATAATATTATTTCTACAAGGCAAAAGAAGGGTTGGAGACATGAATAAGTACTCTGTACTATTAGTAACATGTATATGACATTTTACATTACAATACACATACTACAGCATTATAATTATACAGTATTGGCATATGCTGATATACAATGTACAATTGCAAGCAAACACGCCGTGCTGCACTGCACACATTTGTAGTTATTGTGTTCTCTCATGTTTCTTCTTCTTCTCCTGCCATTCCGTATAAATGGATTCAACTCCGTCATTTTTTAGCCTAATGACTTGAAATTTGGCATGGAGGTAGAGTGGGCCAATACCCCCAGGACTGTTTTTCATTTTTTTATACATGCCTTTGAAAAATTGTTGTGGAGGTTTTTTGGGTCATTTTTCGACAAAAAATGGATTTTTGGATCCTGTGAGTGAGACCTGGTATTACAACCACATGATCTGAAATTCGGTATATTACCTTGAACGTGTGTCTACAGAATAGCAGTCACATATTTGGCATACAACACTTCCAAATGACTCATTTGGGGGACTTTAATGGCTATTTTCAGCCAAAAAAAGGCCAAAAGTGCTATACCCGTTCCACGTTTGATCTAAAGAATGGCCCGTTCCATCTGCCGTTGGCCATCAAACACTGCTCGAACACATTGAACTTTGCGGGTTACCTGGGGTCACGTTGCACGTAAGTCGTTCAGTTTTGCACTGGGGTAAGTTTGGAATAGTCCACTTTTGTGTGGGAGGGAGATGGACTGAAATATGCTGCATTTGCTCCCAAGCAAATGTCGGTCTTTCTAGTTTATTAGACTAGTTAGGAGAGCGTGTGATGTCAGTACCTTTACATTCATCTTGGACTGTTGTGCCACCACAGAGTCCAGATAACGGACACAGTCCATCCGCTCGTTGACGGCAGCGACGTCCAGCGGCGTGTGGTAGTCATTATCCAGTCCCCAGATGTTACAGCCAAACTGTACCAGGAAGGTGAGGCAGCTGATGTGTGCGTTAGCCGCCGCGTGATGCAGCGCAGTGCTGCCCTGGTAGTCTGTCTTGTCAGGGTCACCCCTAATCAACACAACAGACAGACATGGTCTACTTGCACTTATTCACTGGTATACTGATTGTCAACATTAACATGCCTTAAGGCCACGCCAATTTAATTTCTTGGTTAACGGATTTTTCTAGAAAAATAATGGAGCAGGTGGGCAAAAAATAAATAAAAACAGGCCTAGGCATCCTATTATGGCCCAAAATGGTATGATAGGAGCCATGAAGTCAACACACTGGTTCAAAATTTAAACAATGAATTTGGAACTTTAATGATACCACTGCATTGAAAGATGGAATAACTGTAACAACTAAGGAAAAAAGGACTGTTTTCAACTGTTCAGGGCAAAATATGAGCATTTTGCAGTTGATTCTGATTTTTTATTTTTATTTGCAAATCAGAAAAAAATGAAGCGGGCGAATCCGTTAACCAAGATATTGAATTGGTGTGGCCTTAACCAGTAATTACAGCTCAGGCCATTTTGGCCTGTTTTTCAGGTAATCCTGGATACACATAAAAGTACACACAAAAAATACACAGTACATAAACTATTACTAAATACAACATCCTAAACATCAACTGTATCAAGTCCTGCTCCTAATGTTCTGTTTAAAAGTCCTGAGACTAAGGAGTTGCCGTTGCTGTAGCGGAAGAGTTCCACAGGTAAAGATTAAAGTACTGTAGACTGCTCCGGTATGCCGTGACTCTTGCTGGTGGACAGGAGAGTAGGTGAGGGTCGTAGTCCCTAAGACGTTTTAACTCTGACCGAGTAGTCCGTACACTTCGTTAATGTTGGAGGAGTCTCCCACTTGAACAAAGATGCTATGTACAATTCACATTACAACAGCCAGACATGGTCTACTTACTCTGATTGTCAATGTTAATGTGCCTTAAGCCTAGGAAAAAAATATAGTGTTTCCTGTTTCTGAGTCCTGAAAAAAATTTGCATACTACCCTCTTACCCTCTGCTCACTAACAACCTCACAACAGCTCACATCCCCCGTAAGCCAACAGGAGAAAATTAACACATTCTTTTGTCACACGCCTGCTTGAATCAAACAATGGTCTCATTAAACTGGTAATTCACTCGGACATATTCTTCCTCAGCAACTTCTGGAAACACTACGTCAACCTGGTATTCAAACAGTCTGCACATTAAACTTCCCTTACATTGCATTTTAATCTTTCTGTATATACTTTTATGTCCTACCTGGGCCACGATTACGTTCGATACGGGTGTTCCGGGTCAATCGCGATAACTAACGGTATGGCCCGGAGGTTCTTTACGCATACGGCCCGGACCTTCCAAATGTTCCATAGAATGATTCGAACGCGTTTCGGCCTAACCAAGTGCACCGATTTTGCTTTCGAAATTCGAATGCAGAATCCAGACATTGGAATTGATGTCTCATTTTTTGGGTTTAGGGACCAAAATTTTAGCTCATTTCGCATTGAAAGGTGCATTTTCTTGGGTGGGTATGACATAAATAAGATACAACACAGTGTATTCCGCATCACCCTCGGTCCCGGCCCTCCCGCGGATTGGATCTCCCTCCGGCCGTCGGGCGATCCGATGCGCGGTCGGGCTGGTACCTTGGGCGATACGGAATACACCATGTTGTATTCTATATTTATGTCCTACCTGGGCCGAGATAACGTTCGATACGGGTGTTCCGGCCCGTGTGATAACTAGCGGTACGGCCCGGGGGTTCTTTACTCGTACGGCCCGGCCCTTCCAAATATTCCATAGAACGATTCGAACGCGTTTCGGCCTAACCGCGTGCACCGATTTCGAAATTCGAATACAAAATTCGGACGTTGGAATTGATGTTGTCGCATTTTGTGGGTTTAGGGACACCAAATTTTCGCTCATTTCGCATTGAAAGGCGCGTTTTCTTGGGTGGGTATGACATAAATAAAATACAACACGGTATATTCCGCATCACCCTCGGTCCCAGCCCTCCCGCGGATCGGATCTCCCGCGATCCGACGCGCGGTCGGGCTGGTACCTCGGGCGATACGGAATACACCGTGTTGTATTCTATATGTATCAAACTTATCTTAAGTGTGTATCGGTATTTTATGTTCTGATATGGGCCATGTGCCTGCAATAAAGAATGAATTGAATTGAATTGAATAAGACATCTTACCCTCTGCTGACTAACAGTCTCAGGGCGTCCAGGTTGCCGTGATATGCTGCCCACAGTGTCGGGGTCATCCCCAGCTCGTCCCGTTCATTACAGTCCTTACGAGTAGCTTCCTTCAGCAGGTCCAGGTACCCATCCCGGGCTGCCCGATGAAAACGGCCGGAGTTGCTCATGGTAAAACCTGCTGAGTGAAAATGTCCATGTCAGATAGCATGCCCGTAGCCAGGATTTTGAATGGGGGGGGT